TAGGGTTTAGGGTTTAGGAATTAGAGTTTAGGGTTTAGATTTTGGGAACTTCCCATATCCATTTCTGGTGCTTGGTGTAGCGAGGTGAGGGTCCATCTGGGTCCTAAGTTCTTCTTTCACTTGACCCTTAAAGCTAGTTTCCCTAAATAGGGGTACCCCAATACGGACCCCAAAATATACTATAGTCCTCATTATGAGGACCCCCCAAAAAGTACCCCTGATTTGGGGAAACCCCCAAATGTACTTGTCGCGCAACATGCGCAACTAATAACGACCTCACCCCCAGATGGTGCTTCTTTAGAAATATGGTCAAGGGATGGACGTATTTCAGGCTTTGAACTTTACTCCAAATGCCAGGTCATTGCTTCGTTGGTTGAGACTTTTGGACCCCCCCCAAAGCTTTTGAAAAGCACTTTCTGGTGTGGGGTTCAGGGTTTAAGGTGAGCTTCTCAGTGGATCAAAGACTATTTCAAGTTGCGCCACATACCCCAAAACCCTAAAACCTTAACCACATGCGGTGTCCCAAGAATCATAGGTTCTTTCGCCCGTGCTGGGGTTCCTGTTTCAGGACAGGCTATGAGAGAGGAACCTATTTGGAGAGTCACGGGAAGTTAGTACGTTCTTGTACGGGTTATCGATTATAAATAGAAGTTATAAGTTGACTTGCTATGGCTCCCTGACCCTCCAAGTACTTTGAGACAGCCTTTGGTCACTCCCCCTCAAGATCTAATAGGAACTAAAATAGCCCCTTAGTAAAGCCTCTGCAAGGACCGTTACCGTAAGGGGAACTGACCCAAGACATGCCTTCGCGCAGCCCCTGCTAGGGACGCTACGAATACGACAGTCCTTTGGGGCTCTGGGGATTCCATTTTTCCTGGGCCAAGATAAGGAAAATACCGGACTATAAGGAGCAGCTCCTGGTAGAATTCCGGTAGAGTCCTGAATGTCCACCCCATGGCCTTGAACGATTAGCCCCAAATTCCCAAATCTCCAAACCCCTACACCCTCAATGTTTAAACTCTACGTCCTGAACACTCAGTCCCAAGCCCTAAACATCAAACCCTTAACCCCTGCGCCCCAGAAGCCCTCACCCCTAACCCTAAACCCTAGATAGTAGTTTCCATTTTCTCTTCCATTATCCCTATATAACCCCTAACCCCTATATACCCCTATAAACTAACCTATATATAATTCCTAATAACCCCTATAAGTAACCCCTTGTCAAATCTCTGACCCAAAGCATGAACCGGCCAGATCCTAAAGCTAAAAACCATTCACTGGATCACCTGCCCCTGAACCCTGGAGCCGAAACACTAAATCCAAATCAAACTCCTAAACCCTAAACCCTAAACTCCTAAACTCCTAAACCCTAAACCCTAAACCCTAAAGCCTAAGCCCTTAAACCCCAAACCCCCGCAACCCCAAAACCCCGAAGCCTTGTTCAGAGGCTACGACCCTGGCCTTGCTGTGTCGGCCGGCTCTTGGGGCTCAAGTTTGGATTTGAGGGTTTTAGGGTTTAGGGTTTGAGGATTTTAGGGTTTTCTAGTTTTAGGATTTGTGGGTTTGAGGCTTAGGTTTAAGGGTTTTGAGTTTGGGGTTTAGGTTTTTAGGGTTCAGGGCTTTGAGTTTGGGGTTGAGGTTTTACGGTTTAAGGTTAGGCATTGGGATGTAGGGTTTAAGGTTTTTTGGGTAAAGGGTTTAAGGATTTTGGGTCTGGGGTTTAGGGTTTTTCAGGTGTCCTCCACCTGTATTAGGGTTTAGGGTTTAGCGTTTAGGGTTTACAGTTTAGGGTTTCACCCATGTTCGGATAGTAAGTCTGCGTTAAACCACACCACCCTACACTATTTGAAGCTTGGCATGTTTTGGTACTCCGCAGCCACCCTAATCCGCACACCTGTAGGAGGCCAGGCCTCTGGGTTGTACAGTATGTGGAAATTGGGACACTAGGTGGTAGCTTCCCTAAAATTCAAGGGGTCCCCAATATAGATGCGCCGGCAGTTTTGCGCACAATCCACGCGCGAGGAAACAGGAATTGCTTACGCAAGACCTACAGGGACGAATTTTGAATTTAAGGTTTAGGGGCCCGGGTTCAGAATTGTGAAGGATCCTGACCACTAGACCTCCAGGGATCTTCCCATGTAAGGACTCCAAGTTGTAAAAAGTCCATATGAATTAGCATGCACGGACCGTCATGCGGGATGACCACCTTCCTATCACAACTGCCACTGCCACAGCTCTCCCTCTTTAGAGCGCAAAACTCGGCCCCTGTTCCCGCACGAAACGCGCCCAAACCCAAAACAAGGCTATCTTGATACTTGCGCGGTGAAGATGGATGGCCGGCTAGTATGCTTCGGTGGGAATTCTGATGGCGAGTGTGACGTGCCAGAGGCCTTTGCATTCCTTCTTTTTTTGGCTTGAAAAAGTCAGGGGTCAATATGATCAGGACATTTTTTTTGCTAGGCATAGGCTGCTTCAGGGATGCATCGGGCGCCCCTGCCCCCACCCGTAACGGTGGTACGTACATAGGGAGTACATACGTATGGCCCAGAGCAGCTTCTGGTCACCAAGAGCAGGTGGGGGCCTAACCTAAGACAAATTCTCCATCTCGTTCTTTCTAGAATTTCGCCAATCCATTGTGTGAAGTTCCCAGCCTGCTTTTCCACATTTTATGGACTAAACCCTTTCCTGGTGAGGGTTTAGGGTTAGGGTGTATGTAGGGGTTTAGGGTTTTCAGGAATTAGAGTTAAGGGTTTCAGGACTTAGGATTTAGGGTTAGGGTTCTCAGGGTTTTAGGATTTAGGATTTAAGGATTAGACCGCGGGAGCCTTTTTGAGCTGCGTTCGGTCTGATAGCCATCTTGATATAACCCCAGCAGCTTATTCCCCAAGTCCCAAAGTCAAAAACTTTAAACCGAATCCTCATGGGGTCTAGGATTCAGAGGTATATTCAGTGTCAGGGTTTCGGGTTAGGGGTCTATTTAGGGTTTAAGGGTTTAGGGTTTTGACATACGCCCCAGAATCTCGAGTGCCGACTTCCCTGCCCTACAGCAAAATGTTTATCTGGTATTTCAAGATTTCCTCCATCCAGCGTCACAAGATAATAAGAGGGTCAATTATGGTGACTCCAACCCTTTAAATGAAAAGCTTATTGTGATTATATAGTAGTTCTAAGTTATATGATCTTAATTTAAGGGGATTGAGTTACCAATATCTATACCACGCCTATACAAACAGCCACAGTCCAGTTTCCATATCAATTCCATGTTACTGTTCAAGTCATTCTCCGTTATGCCAAACCTAACCCTAAACCCCCACAGCCTTTGAGCTAAACCCTAAACCCAAAATCCTCCAAACCTTAAACCCCAAATCCTAAACCCTAAGCCCCAAACCCCAATCCCTAAACTAAACCCTAAAACCTTAAATCTTTTTGTTTCGAAGAGGCCTTGGGCCCAGTGATGGCAGCGTCCTCCGGCTTCGACCACTCCTGCGCGGTGAGTGCTGACGGGGAGCTGGTCTGTTTCTCTGGTGTTTATGGTTTAGGGTTTATAGGGTTTAGGGATTGGGATTTAGGGTTAAGGGTTTAGGACATAGGGATAAGGGTTTAAAGTTTGGAATTTGGGTTTACTGGGTGTTATCAGAGACTGCAGAACTGGAAAAGAACATGGAAACTGCTTTATTATGAGTAGGGGCCACTGCACCGCTCCTTCATTCCGTACTAACAATCAATAACTTGGTGGGAAAGCCCTAAACCCCTTAAACCCCTAAACCCCTAAAACCCAAAACCCTAAAACTCTAAAAGCCTAAACCCCGAAACCCCAGCTTCAGGGTCAACCCTAGGGCTTGGTGGATGTTGGATGTTTCTTACGGTTTAGGGAGGAGGGTTTCTTCCGTGTATGTGGGTTAAAATTACCCCAAGGCTCCAAGGACGCAAATAAAGAGGTTTTAGGGCCCAAATACTATAATATGAATGCTATGTGGGCCCTAGAGCTCTATTATTTGGGTCCTTGGACCCGCAGGTTTAATTACAAGCCCCCGCGCACGCCTCGGCGGCTGGGGTTAGAAAACAGACAGAAAGAGAAGCTCTTCTGAAGCATTGGTGCAAGGCTCATTTGACGAGACACTGTGCCTGGAAGGCAGTAGCGGAGTTCTCGGCCTTAGTCGTTCAATGTTAATCCTCATCAACCTCCGCTGCAAGTAGCATGTCTCAGAATGGGGTAGTGCAGAATTCGCCGAGGCGGGCGTTTGGAAGCCTCTTACTTTCCCCCAAATTGAACATCATCACAGCCAACCACCCGAAACCCTAAACCCCTAAGCCCAAAATCCTAAACCCTCAAGCGCGAATAAATTGAAATTGTATAGGGCCCACACCCACCAACAGCAAAAATCAAAACCACAACAGTCGGTCAGAGACTTTGGACACGAACCCTATACAATTCCTATGAACCTCTAAACCCTAAACCCCTAGAACCTAAACCCTTAACCCCTAAATGGATGTCTTTCGCAGTGCAGACGTAAAAGAGCCGTAGAAAAGCCCTAGCCCCTTGTTGCTTTGTTACCACTGTTGCTACTCTACACTGAAAAGCTGGGCATGGCTTCTTTACTTGGAGGGTCAGGGGGACTTAGAAAGTAGGTTAAGAATCCCTTGAACCCATATAGTAACCTTACTTATCCCCATTTTGTATCCTACTTACTAAGTCCCCCTGACCCTCCAAGTAACCTTAAATTCTAAACCGCACGGCTGGGGATCGCTCTCGGAGACTTTCCTCGGGTACTCTCTCTGCCTACGCAAAATCCTGGGTTGCTGTTAAGGCACTTAAAGCTAAGTTACTGGAATATGGGTATATAAGGTTTGGGGTTGATAAAGATTAGCGCTCATATACTTCTTGTCCTAAAGTGCATCATTGCACATTTGGGAATTACAGATTAAAGGGGTGGAGTCGATTACATTTTTTCCTTCAGAAAGTTGATGGGTATTTCTGCCACCCATTCTGGGCAACTAAGGCTTTGGCTGCAACAGATTTGGGAAATGCGAGGTACCTCCTGGTTTGGGGCCCGTTGTATCCGTTTCTACTGGCTATCTTCACACCTGTGCGGTTGGCGCTGACGATCAGCTGGTCTGCTTCGGGCACAACTTGGAGGAGCAGTGCCAGGTGCCAGCAGATGTTGGACCCGTTCTGGCAGTGTCCGCAGGCTACTCCCACACCTGTGCAGTGGAGGTGAGGGCTTAGACTTTAAACTTGCCCTAAGCTGTCGAAACAAAACCTCCAAGCCTAGATCCCCTTTGAGTAGATAGAATATAGGGTTTATGAGGATCTTATTATAACATACC